TAATCTCTCCAGCGACGCGGGGGTTGGCCCGACTGAGATGGAGTTCAATGTTCAGCTTCCCAGTTGCCAGGAGATGCGCAACCGGGATGAATCCCAGCGCCTGCACTTTGACACTACGTATGAAAACATCCAAATCAACCATTGGATCAAGGTATGTCCTACACCACACCGGGGTGATTCGCTCGATACTAACTTTGATTAGATTGTACTGCGGCTGTCCAAGGTTGACGAACGAGATTCGGGCAAGCGAAGACACTTTGAGATCTCGATCGACTCTCCTTTCCACCTGCTTTCTTGCAAAGCTACGCAAGCGAATATCTACCTACCCGCATACACTTCGCCCGACTCGGAGCCGCCGCCGCAGGCTCAGGAGTATGAATGTGGCTGTCCGGGGGCGCCGCCGGTCAACAGGAATGGTTCTCGAAACGGCTCTAGCCGGCAGTCACTGTCTTCTGATCGGGACGAGGTGCCCCTCGGCGGCGCAGTTGCGAGAAGTTTCACTAATGGTTCCGGTGGGCTGGCTCGACCTCCCCAGGCCCATTTGGCGGATGAGCCAACCGATCGACACCCTGCGCCCCGACCGATGCATCTTCTGCGGGCGCCATCATTTGCACCGCCCGCCTTTGAAGATGTCCCGCCACCACCACCACTCGTGACGCCTCCCCCAGAGTATAACTCCATCGTTGGGGACAACGACCGAGAATCGGTGCTGCAGGACTACTTCTCGCGGCTATCTTTTTACGAGGAACATGCCGACGATGATCGGGGCCGCGGCCGAGTTGATGTGCCTCTCACGCCAGGGGGGCGCGTGAACCGCAGCATGGACGTCCCACGGGAGTGGGTACGTCTGGAGGAGTCGGCCGTCTAACCGACGAGCCGCATTTACGACGCTATGAGGATTGTACTTTTGTTTTAGAGGACGGAGGGAGTTTGTGATACAACCGGCGTTTGATCCTTTCGGAGCAACGTAGGCTGGCTCCCTGTCTGATTTATTTGGACTTAATTGGAAATGGCGCCTGAGGAACCGGGATGTATTTGTGGCATTGTTTGAGCGATCTCCTCGTTCCTCATACTATATACATATTGTTTATATTATGTTTAGATACCAGCTGTAGCAGATACAGCAGATGCATGGATTGAGTTATGCGTACTGAATAGTGGTATCCCCTTGCCTTCAGTATAGTTCAATGAACCGTAACCATATACTAGTACGAAAGACATGAACCTAATGAAGCAGCGGTGAAAGCTCAAGGCAAGTAAACTGTACGGAGAAGATAAGTAGATATAGATAGGAAGTGAGAATCCGCCCGTGGTGGCGCACCGCCCGCATAGAGCTGCCTCTTTCGGCGCTTATCCACTTTAGTCCAAAGTATTTAAATCTGATTGACGCCATCATCACCTGCATTTATTGATTGTACCACCACCTCGTGCTATTCCTTTTTTCTCCTTGCACGAAGACTAGAACAGGTCATATCTTCTCATAGTATCATAACACTCACGTTCAAGTCTACACCGCTTTCAACTGGAACTTCAATTTTCGAGAAACTTCACTTGGTTATTACCATTGAGGTTCGAGCTGCAGGTAAGTACTACCCCCAACAACTACTAGTATATCAGTATCTAAGATGTGAACAGGGAACCTAAGGATCAGAGGAAAAACAAAAAGCAAAATGCCCATCGAAGTAACAGACCTCACCGAGGCAGATATCCCCGCCGCCATTGAGATTATTCAGACGGCATTTGCGGAAGATCCGTATTTCAAGTGGGTGTTTGATGCTGAGAATGTAAGTCCGTCAGTCACAGAACAACATACCCGCACGAGGTATTAGACTCTGAGCATGTAGATGATGATCACGATGATCAAGATAAAGGCACCAAGCTAACCAATTCTCCAACCTTCCCATCACCGCGGTCGGCTTGGGTAACCTCCCCCAACCGACCAGTATGGGAACCTTCATCTTCATTCTAAATGAAATAGTTCAACAAGCAGCGCAATCACGATTCCCTAGCGGTGCGATGTCGCTGGGGGATCAACAATGCCATCTTCCAAGTTGCGACAGACACAGACACATCAAAATCATCCCCAGGAGAAAAGAAGATAGTGGGCGTCTCCTGCTGGCTCCCACCCACCCCCCCAGACACGCCAGAGACATGGTACAGCTGGACACAAAACTGGCTTCTCAGCTTCCGTCAGACGCTCAACAACGTATGGCATTTCGGACGGGGCGGACTCCGCACGAACCGCTACTGGATCTGGAAGGAGCGGCAGCATGAAGCGCAGGGCCAGATCTGGGATGATCCCAAGGGATACTATTTCTGCAATATTGTGGCGGTGCATCCGGAATGTCAGGGTCTGGGGGTGGGGAGGAAGCTCTTTGAGGCGGTGACGGATCGGGCGGATCAGGAGGGAGTCAAGTGTTATTTGGAGAGTTCGAGGAATGTGCCGAATGTGCAGATTTATGAGAAGATGGGGTTTGAGATGAGGAAGGAGATGGAGTGTAGGGATGGGGGGGATGTTTGTATGGTGAGTTGCTTTCTCTACCATCTATATGATAGTTTCTGTGGAGGGAGAGGAGTAGGGGCGTGGTGGTGAAACGGGTTGACTAACTTGAGACAGCTCTATTGTATGGTTCGTGAGCCAAAGACTAAGTCGGAACTGTGAGGGGCGTGGCGTTGATTCTAGAACTGGATGGATGTGTTTATTGTAGCAGGTTTGTTTGGGAGACCATCGGGAATGGAAGTGGTCAGTCACATCAGGCTATTCAATGATTCGATATACCATTGGTCAGTTAATTGAAAGCACGGACATTCATTACTCCTGCGGATGCAGCATCCCTTTAAAACATCCAGATGCTTCCCACATCCAAATCCAAACATCTCCGATAGAAGCCCAGTAGACATCCAACCCTCCTCCCCTATCAACAACTATGAACAATTCAAACCACGAAACCCACACCCACATCCTCCACCAAATCAGCACCATAATCCCATCCACCCTCTCCCCACAACTCACCTCCAAAACAAACACAAGCACCAGCACCAGCACAAGAACCAGCACAATCCGCATCCTCGGCGACATCCCCAACAGCATCCTCAACCCCACCGACTACCTCTCATCCATCTACCCCTTCATCACCGAGACCTCCAAATCCCCTACAACAACTACACCCAAACAACCAAACCCTCTTCATCGCCGCCAAAATCTGTCGCGGAAAGCACTCCTACTTTATCCTCGACCTCAACAACACCGAATATGACTATGACACCGCCCATGACTGCAAGACATTACTCCCCGTCTATGTGCTCCGTCTATCAAAACGACAGCCAACTATCTTCCGGAAACAGGTGCTGGATGAACCTGTTGCGAAGATCTTAAGGAATATGCATAATTTGCATGGTCGGGATCCGTTGCCGTTGTTTGATAACCATCATGACCCGTATCTTCAATACCCCAACCCGCGCAGCCCGCATTATGAGGTTTGACTTGTTTTCACGACTGTGTTCTGTAATCAAATTTGTTTCATGTCCGAGGTATTCTCTTGATGTAGGTGGAGAACCTCGCTGTCATACGGAGTCTTTGCATTGATTTGAGGCGGTTAGAATACGGTAGGTGGAAATGGTGCCAACAACAGGTATTTAGTGGATGAAGGTATGGGAACTTAGTTTGGCAGTCCATTAAACTAATACTGACACCTTATGGCATAAATCCTTATGCTGTGTGGGAGCCACGCACAACCATGGCACAGCTCCTCTTACATTGTAGCAGGTTGGTTTGAGCATATGGGTGGTGCGGCAGTATGAGACGAACATGAACACGAACACATGTAAGATCTAATCTACTTACGCCTAAACCTCGGATCAAACGAACATTTCTAACTAGCTAGCTAGCTTCTTGTTAAGTAACTACGTAGTATATGTCTAGATTTTCAGCAGACTATACATAAGTAAAAATGTATCCCCGTTATTGAGTGGACCCCATCAACAGACCATTAAGATCAGAGCATGGATAGTACTAACTTAGTATTGATTGATCACGAGTCTACCTACAGTCCAGTCCGTATTCGGGTTTCTGCAGAAAAAGTCAAAGCCCCTTATTTCAGTTTCTTTCTTTCCCCTTCTCGGCCAAGACCCGGGGAAGGAAAGGAATTGGATCCACGGGGGATCCACTTTGCATGGGACGGACGAAGAATGAGAATGAATCCGTTGCCAAGGAGGGTCCTTTGTTTGATGTAGATATTATATACATAGCATTTACAGGGTGTATGTCTATTTATATTCTGTTAATCGTAATATCCATATTTACTTAGTTACTACTTGTTAATTGTCATACTGAAGCACAGACAGACACATAGATAATAACTGCATACTGGATACTGAATAGTGGGTTATCCGAGTCATTCCAATGATCCGCCGTTTCACAAACTACCGACTAGCCCGAGTCGATCATCCAGAAGGGAACAAAGTAAACTACCTTAACTTACTCCTAGTCAACTGTAGTAAAGTTTCTATGGAACCGCCTAGACCAAATTCCCCCTCTCCCCTCTATTAGGGGGTTGGTTCGACGTTCAACGTAGACAAGTTCGTTTCCAAGCCGGTGTCTCGTCTTGATTGCCCGTTAGTTAGACTAGTTAACTAGTTAGTTAGGGTTGAATAATAATAAGCCGGGATGAAAATGCCGAATATACTACCAACGCCTTTTTTTCATCCTGGTTTCAGGAGAAAAAGTATCTTTTTTTTTCCCTGCTTTTTTTTTCATCCAAGATTTTAGTCTAGAGGTGCAAGCTACCCTTTTGTTGGTATTTTAGGGTGGGGAGGGGTGATATATCAACTACGTCTTTTTTTCTTCCTTTCTTCAATTCTTTTCTCTCCCTTCGTTTTGTTACATTGATTTGATTCTGTGCGCAGCTGGTCTGTGATGCCATTACATCTATCATTATACCTCTCTCATTAATCCAATCCAACAATAATAATCAATAACTACTATCTAATCAACCAAACAAATGTCCCAATCTACGAGTCATGTCCTCCACCACATCCACAACTACATTCCGCGCAGCGACTCAACAACATCATCATCAGACCTCACCGTCCAGGCGAAAGTAGGTCTAGCTTTCGGCATACTAGGTACGTCCATCCACCATCAATCACCCCATTCATTACCACCCACACACCCTAACAACAACCCTAACAAATACTAATAATAATAACAGGAGCAATCCTCCTCACCATAATCCTCACCACCCTGATCGTCCTCCGAATCCAGCACGGACCCGTCATTACTCTCCGAACCCTCTTCTCCCGCAACCCGATCCCAAACATACAGAGACAATCATTATCAATAGATATCTCCCCATCGGACGAGGAATCTCAGCCGCCGCCGGCATACACACATCCACACCCACACCAATTACCAGAGACAGGATCGAAGGGGAATGCAGATATTCCACCGCCACAACAAGCACATATCCCCCCCTCGCTGCGCAAGGAACTTAATCTGCATGTTGATACATCGCATTCACCTACCACCACTACCACTACTACTGCTATCGCGACGACGAAGCCGAAACCTACACCGCTGAGAACAATGTCCGATACGGAGATACTAAGATCATCAACATCAACGTCATGTGAGAAAGATAGAGAGGCGCGCTCGACGCTAAAGGTCCAGATCCACCACCACCATCACCACCATAATCATCCATATTATAGTCGGCTGAGGGTGGGGAGTCCGAGGTCGCCTGTAAGCACTGGTGGTGCTGCTGGGATTAAATCAGACAGGTTATGTCCGCCGGATGAGTATGCAGTGCCGCCGGATAGTCCTGATGTGATTGTGTTGCCGTCGCCGAGGGAGTTGCAGAAGTTTAGGATTAATGTTTATCGATGAGATTATACTACGTGTACTGTGGTATGGGATTGGGATTGGCATGTGATTTTGGGTATGTATATAGGTACTAGCTGTTTATGTATGGGTATGTTTGGTAATGATAATGATGATGAGTTGTTATGGTTTTGGTTTTGTGGGATTGGGTGGTGGTAGTGATCAGTGGGTATATATTGGATATGTTCTATAGATAAAAAGTACAAGTCATCGATAGATGTGGTTCTGAGTGGTGTAATAGGTCACTAGTGAACATTATGATAAGGGATACAGAGTGACTAGACAGGGTCAGTCTATTCATCGTCATTCAATAGTCCTATGTAGCGGAATATCGGAGCGCTAATTTATACTACTATATGGTAATGCACTCATCCTTTAATATAATGGTCAGCACCACCGAAATGAATTCACAAGCAAGGTCTGTGACTGAAAATCAAATAAGAAACCTGCTATTTATGAGACATACTAACAGTGAATATGTCTAGAGTCGAAACATCATTCACTAATAAATAACAGTCACATCCGAAGCAAACACGAAATTCACCAATAATCCCCTGATAATCATAAAGATCCAGGAGAGTAGAGCAAGGGATTAGTTCCACCTTGATCAGAAATAAGCATAATCGATAACGGCTCACCATGCTATGTGTTGTGCTGCTTCGAAACAGTGTAACATTATTAGCAGCAGCGGCTATGCAGATCAACGACAATATGATAGAATTGACTTCCAGGCTCGTGGTACGAATTTCCTAACGGCTGATCAGGACCGGGAAATTAGATTGATGCTGTGCCAATGGGGATTTGGGATAGGGTGGTTATTTGTTGGGAGGTTACACAGGGAGATTTTAGTTAGTTGGTGTGTTAGATCATCCATGTATGTTATGTTCCATATATTATCGCTATTGATTCCTTGAAACTTTATATAGTTAGTGAGATGGTTGTCTATAAGGGGTATGTTAATAGATAGTCTTGGAGAGTAGTATCAAATGACAGTAGTATCATATACACCCTGCCAAGCTGCATTTCATCTTGTCTACTCCGTCTTGACAAAGAAAACGGGTGAAAAGCTCAACCTACCAAGCCCTGGCTGCCCTACAGAATAGCTAGCTCTCACAGGCGGCATGTAGCTTCAAGTCACTCCCCTATATCCGGCAATATCCGACATGATTGACTGGTATGTCCTCAGACGGGAGATTCAGGACCATAATGGCTGTAACAGTGAGTCTAACCCATGTCCGTGAAGCTGCTTCTGTTTCTTTCACCATGACAGCATGCAGGTGGCGCCATGTGGGGATGCATTCTATAGCATCGTGCCGTCTGGTGCGTGAATACGATCATGTCCAGCTTTATAAATGGGTGCTGGTGCTTCGAATTCCCCTTCGCTTTCTTCCTCTTCTTCCTCATGCACAGTTGTGACTTTCCTGTCTCTATCGTTGAATCTGATCACTGATACTCCTTTTCCTTAAGAGCTCGCTTCCGAAGTCAGCATGCTCATACTCATCCTCTTTCTCGCCCTAGTGGCCCAAGGTCTTACCATCCCCCGCTCAACCACGGGCAACATTTGGCAGCCCAGAGTCGGTGCTTCATGGGACATTGTGCTCTCTACCAGCGTAATTCGTCCTGCTCCTGCCACTGAAATCTATGACATCGACATGTGGAGCAGCGAGCCCAGAATCATTGACTCCCTCCATAAGCTGAACCACAAAGTGATCTGCTACTTCTCCGCTGGCAGCTACGAGCCACACAAGAAAGACAGTGCCTCGTTTCCAAAAGAAGCGCTGGGCAATCCCCTCCACGACTGGCCTTCGGAAAGATGGTTGGATGTTCGCCATCCTCAAGTGCGCCGCATTATGGCAGCCCGGTTGGACCGAGCACAGCAGATAGGCTGTGATGGTGTTGATCCGGATAATGTTGATGGATATGGCAACGACAACGGTTTCGGTCTGACGAAACAGGATTCCATCAACTATATCAATTGGTTGGCTGGAGAGGCGCATAGCCGGGGTCTGGCTATGGGGTTGAAGAACTCGGGAGACGTTATTCCTCAGGTTCTTGCAAACGTGCAGTGGAGCGTCAATGAAGAGTGTGCAGATAGACACGAGTGTGATTTGTATGCCTCTTTTGCAAGGGCTGGAAAGCCTATCTTCCACATCGAATACCCGAAAGGTAGTGACAGGAATGACAATGAAGATGTCGATGGGGAGGAGAAGAGACGGTTCTGTGAATTCTCCAATTCGGGACTATTTTCAACCGTACTGAAGAATATGATCCTGGATCGTTGGGTTCAACGGTGTGACTGATACTGTTTGCATCTTCGGATGTATTGGATTGCTTTCTACACTAGCTGAGCTGGTTTGTAATTATGCTGTGTATTTGTCTCCTGGACCTGAGTTGTTTAGTAGATAGCCACAAAGAAACTGATTGTTTTGAGCCGAGATTTGCATCATTGAGGTTCTGCTGTTCGTCATTTGGTAACATGTCATTGTTCTCTTGTAAAAGTAGGCCGCTTATTGCGCTCACTTGGAGAGCCACCGTAGCTCAGCTGTAGTAACTTTCGGTACCGGCAATAGGACAACTCGTATCTGCTGTCACTAATCAGCAGCATAGTGCCCTGCAGACTGACTAGCCTGTAGCCTGACATCCTGTGGTGCAATTGGCTCAGCAATTCACGCTATAGGCGATGTCCGAACACTGTATATTGCTTAGCGAGAATCACATGGTTCTCATATATTAGCTTACAATGACTAATGTTTTCATGTGTCTGAAATTGGCAGCCGTTTTATCCAACGCCACCGTTAGCAATGGTATGAGCTCTTATCTCGCGCACGGCCCTACAGCTTAGTATGCCGGCGCAAACTAGATAGGTCCAGAACATCTGCTGAGTAGTAAGCGGGACTCAGAAAGTGGCAGCCTACGGAGAGCTATATTTCAGTGAAAGCAATCACCGCCACCAAAGTATTGATAGTAGTGCGTCGAATCAACAGCTTTCCGATGTAACGGCTAGTCACTCGCCCTACTTCTTGCCCTGCACTCGAGGCCTGCAGAGCACGATGTGGCTAGGGTCATAGCACCCCCGCACTAACGAGCAGTAAGAGACCGTGCATGCGCGCATGTAGGTGTCAGGTTGGAGCTAGCTGTCCCAAATGACCTGGCTACCGCGGCTAGTCTAGTCTATGCTAAACTGGCCCTCGTAGTGCATATTGCTGCAGATGCGAACAGACTTGCTAGACTTAGGGTGACAGTAGCCCTGCTTCAATGCTATCGCTGCGTAGCGTACTACTAGCGACTAGAAAGGGGCTCGGGCCTAACTTGCTAAGTCTGATGCTCAGACGTGCATTGTTCCATGCTGGCAGATGCAGCTCCCCCGCTCTTCGACTGATATGGGAGATAGCATGAGACTGGTTGCATGAGCAGCAGAGAAAGTACTTCTCGAACACGATCCGGGTCTAAGCGCATTAGACGCATGACAGAATTATGGACGAATTGTATTGAAAGACGTCGCAGATCTGCGGGTGTCTCGTGTGGAACAGACCTGTGAACAAGATCTGCATTAGCTGTATTCGCAGTAGGTATTATTATGCGAGGCAAGCTGATCAACAACGAGATGCATTGTATTGATCATCCTCAAAGACGTCCTTGCACACTTACAATGATGGATTTCGTAAATCGCAGTGGCCTAGCTAGTGAGAATCTTAGCTTCATTCTCTTTCCTATCGCTACCAATACCTCGTAGACTTGATAAGGAGAGCTGAGGTAATAGACAGCAATCTCCGAGGAGCGCTCTCAGGCTATCTGCTGGCACTGAATCACCAACCTTTCAGGATAGCCATATATCATGAAAGACTCAAAAGCACGATAGCTTGGAGCAATCGACAGTACATAGATGAGATGCTTTTTGATTGTGATATTGATGATGGAAGAGATGAAACTGTTGTTGAAAGGTCGGCTACTGGACCGGTAAGGTTGCACATGCATGTGAAAGAAGAGAGGAAGAGAAGAGGAGTAGCCGTGAAGTAGTTATTCATCCACGATCAGGTGACGCCAGTTCTTCAGGCACGATGTCGTGCTCTTCGATAACAAATAGGTCAAGCCATCTCTTAGCGACCCAGTTAGTATATACTCTGCATCTGTGGTATTTAGAATGAAAGAAGGCCGGCAACATGTCTTTAGGCTGGACCATGTAACACTTAGCGCTGGATTAATCAAACTTGATATTTCAGACTGATATACACATCGCTACCTTCACCATAACGAACAATATACAAGTACAAGCCCAAGAAAGTCAAGGTATTTTTGTCATCCTACCGTGTTCCAGCTACTATAGGTCCACAGTAGAAACCACCGTTGGTCCGGATGAGTGTATACCCACCACGGCCAGCCTAATCATCCTACCCTTGCCTTGACTGCTACTATAGCCGGCTGATTGACACCAACGGTCGCAGATCCCCCTGAAAGATCTATTTGCCGTTAAGCCACTGTTCACCATTTGTCACGCCAGGAAGCTTGACTTCGGTAACGCACTCGGCAGTCAGCCGTAGACAGGCACGGCCCAATAATGTCAATAAGATACCTGGCATGGCCGTTGTGGCGCATCGACAAGCCCTAAGCAATCGTCTCATTACGAGGGATCACAACCAGGCAGGCATGGAAGCTTCCACGCACGTCATAGACGCAGTCTTGACCACAAACAAACAGTATATGTGCCCATCATGTGTTTGCTGTAGTCAATATCTGTATGCATGCCAAGTGTCTCCGAAGCCACTTACTAGTTAGTATCTTCGGTGTCCCGGGTAGATGGAAGGTCTTCCCTATCGGTCATGAGATAAAGCAATGGAGTCCCGAATCCCAGTAGGGGTGTACTCCACGACGGCATAAAGCCGACATTAAGTGCATTATCGACTGCCCATTAGTGTCAGAGGTATCACCGAGTAAGACCAATGTGACAGGCACGAGGCTAGGAGCCGGAGATAGTTACTGGCGAATCAAGCTCAGCATAAAGCACCCTAATTTACCCCCTCAACCCCAATATGTGCTAAATAGCAGCCATGACGAAATCATGGCCAGTCAACCAGCACCCAACTCCGAGACAGCTCGGTGATTCGTCGATAGATCAGGGGTCCAAATGGGGGCAACAGATGGAGAAGAATCCAGCAGGAGCAGCCGGTCCGACCCCTGGCCTGATAATTAGTTAGTTAGTGCAGAGATAAGCAGGCAGACAGGGAATTGGACAGTGCAGTGCTAGACTAACGGAACTACTAGAACGTTAGCAGAAGAACAGCTTCCCGCCTAGTTCAGGTAGTCTAATACCTGTCGAGTACCGACCGAAAATGGGCCAGTAATGGTCAACGACACACCCTGCTGGCTCCACAGGTGATAGCTGAGAAGAAGCCAAAGCCCACCTGCAGAGGACCGAGTGTAGTTGACCGAGGCATTTAGCAGAGAGCCCCGGAGGAGTCCGTAGGCCTGATAACCGTTGCCAAGCGTGCTTGATTAAAGAGCCAAGACTGGAATCGGTCGGATAGATCGAGGCGATGCATGAGATGACATGATTTCTGGCTCGGATTCGGCCCGGACTGCCCGTGCCTCGGAGCCTTGGTACAGAATGGAATGTGATCCGTGGCTGCGAATTGCAGAAGGCCCGGAGTGGCTGGATGTTGAAGCCTAGGACGGGAGGATAGGCATTCGATCTGCTTTGTTGCATCCTTCGATAGCAGTCGTCGCTCACAGGGGATTGGACGGGAGGTCAAGTGCTTCCGCTTACCAAGGCGAGATGAGATGCCAGGAGGCAGTCAGTTCCAGGACTCACCTATGAAGTGGGGTGGATTGCTATGGCTGGTGGATTCACGCCCCTTCCATCAGCTCGGACAGTACTGTTTTTGGTTAGTGGCCTTGACCAACAAGAGCTGTCCCTTATGGTTGAGGACTGGAGTGACGACTACTACCTGATGGGAGTTGAAAGTGAAGCTCGGGTAATGAGAAGAAGGGTCTCGCCTCGGTGTGTGCCTTGAAAATGATGTAACTGGAAGAAAGGCTGACGAGACAGGCGACAACTGAGCTAACGGGATGCAGCTCATAATGTTATCATAATTACCAGTATTATTTCGATGCATTTTTAGTGTTTTTATGCGCCTTACGTGGCTTAAGATCTAGGGCCACGGTCTATCAGCCGGGCCCGGCAAGGTCTTCTGGCCAGCCATCGTTGCGCGCCTTCTACTGACATGACGAAGGGGAAATGACAGCGAGAAGAAGACGGTAAAATTATCCAGCAATCACCGCAGCACTATCAATTGGGTAAATGTGTGGCCGTATAAAATGTAATTACCCAAGCGAACCACCAGGCTTGTTGGGCAGTTGAAGGTACTTTGATCGGTACTTTCCCCAGGAGCCGTTTAATTCCTCTCGAATGTCTTGGCTATTAATTTGGTAATAATGGACGTAATATTATTGCCATGCTACAACACTTAGATTGTTATTTCTGGTCAAAATTTCTTTGCTTTCTACCACCTTCTTCTCTCATTCCCTCCCCACTATATTCCTCTCGCGGTGCGTTTCAGCCAGACACGATGGGAGCGCCGTGCCGACTGGGCCAAGCCTGTCCGGCAACCTAATCGACCAAGGGCAAAGATGACGGACAGACTCAAGAACGCATGTACACTCCCCGCACCCTCAATTGCCGTCGGATAATTTCTTGCCGATGGACCAAGGATGATTGGAGAACTGCACCAGCGACGCGTCCTTCGAGGGAGATTCTTTTGCAGCATCCACATCGGGTAGATACTTTGTGATGGACGGCTGGATGGGCAGGGCAAGTCCCGTTAACATTATTAAAGTACCGTGGCACGGCTCAGAAGTTAAAATAATATTACCGGCTCCCAACTATAATAACAGACTTCCAGCCCGCCTTACTCCCAGGATCTTCCGTCCATCTTGAAGCAAATAATCAATTAACTAGGATCCAGTGCTGTATGAGGTCATACTTGCATGGGTGAACTACCGGCGCTACTTGCTTGCCTCTATCCCCGATGCTTGCCCTACTCTGAATCTTCTCCGGTCTGGGAAAGTCAGGCCATGGTGGCCCTGATAGGCCTCCTACTCGTTCCGGTAATCAAGCCGCGGTCCAGCCCATAATTTCTTCGGAAGATAATCGATAGGTTCGGAACAGGCGTGGAGAGAAAATCGGAAGCTCGAGGGTCGTCCTGACACTGAAAGCCTGTTGGGAATTAGGCAATACAGCTGACTGGGTATCCTCCGCACTCGTCTCGAGACTTCTCCATCTTGGTGATGTGAGTGGTGGACGGACTACGGAGTTATGCCGGACTCCCTGTTTTGCGTCCTATGATAGAGAGAATAAAGCATTCTACGGACGGGGGTGGAACAAAGAAGGGAAACGGAAAATGGGGGGAGGGAGACACAGAACAAAGGGGAAGGGAGGGGTTGGGAGGGGAATGGAAAAAAAAAAAAGATACTCGGAAATCATGATAGAATTAAAAAATTAAAATGAGAAATAAAAGTGCGGAAAGGAAGTGAAAGTGGAGAGCGAGGGAAAAAAAATTAAACAGAGAAATAAATATGTAAAGAGAAAAAGGAAAAGTTACAATGAAATTGCGAGATTCTAAGAACTAAAAGAGTCCAAAAAATAGAAAAGAAAAAAGAAAAGAAAACAAATCCTACGTTCAGAAAATTGTTAGAAGGATGATCCCAGTCAAGCTGAAATAATAGTAGTTTAGGTCATAAAGCAGCAGGGATGGAAGCGATGTGATCGACAACCCTTCACAAACTGTTTGTTCGATCTTGTCACAACGTCTGAAAGTACTATGCTGCCACTTGGCTAGTCGTCGAGGCGTCCACGCCGAATCGTGATTAGTAGTAGCACGAAATTGTGCATCCGTTTTGATCCGTCCTGACCCTCCCACCTTGTTGTTCCTCGCTGGGGTACATGCAAGGTACTAATCAACTCTTCTCCGTAGAGACAAGGAACACCCGCTGACTCTAGTCCCTGGTTTGGTTGAGGCCCTATGGGTGTTTGGTTGTTGCTCCGCAGTCTCCGTCCGAGCCGCTGGTTCCTCTCCTGTCTCGTCGTTGTAGCATGACTGTCTGGAAACATCGAACCGACCGTACTACTCCGTATACGGAGCAAGGCAGGAATAGTGGCCTGCGACCGCCTGCATGCCCTGCAGCAAATGCATCATCGGCCCGAGAGTAAGTTCTGTGTTGGTAAGGAATCCATGGGCACTAGCCCTTATAGGTGGGCTGAGGCAGAGAAAAGGGTTCCTTTAGCACTGCTCGGCGACCAGTGATTCGTCGAGACACAAATTATTATCACCAGCTCATGACAAATTGCGGTAGCCGACCACGATAGTTGTTGGGACTGCGGGAATATCAATGGCTGCGGCCCAAAAATTCCCACCATCTCCACCCGAGACAATGTTGGTTTTTCTTTAGCAATCTGGCATCTCCACCATCTCATGCAATAATCTGATTAGCGCCAGTCGTGCGTGCCGGCAGATGTGTAACCACGGTCTGTCACGGATGCAGGCCGCTCGAGGACCACATTGGTCTGGAGATGGGATGTAACGACTAGCGTGGAGTTTGTCGTCATTGTTTCTCTGTCCGCCCTCCCCTCATGTTGCCAGCGAGGTTCATGTTTTCTAAAATGATCGACTGCTGCGTGTTTGGTAGGATGTTGAAGCAGCCAGTCGAGAAATACATTCCAACCGGTTTCGCATAGCTCGGATTGGCGAGCGTGAGCTGCAAACGTCACAGAATCCGGGTGAGAACCTTGAAACCGGTGCAACCCCTCGCAAGCCTGCGGAGGTGGAGGAAAGGCAATAGCCTGGGGTGCTAAAAACCACCCGCCCGGCTAGAGGGCCACTGGAGCTCACCTTTCGGCCGGTCGCTGTCGAGGCGGAGGAGCACAGACGCCATCTGTCCCCCAGTAGGTGCAGGACGATACCTTCTTGGCAGGCAACGGGCTGCGTTGCAGGCCTCTGCGTCAGAGTCCATGGTGACTTGATAACTAGCTAGCTGTCTCTAGCGCCCCCGGTGCGGACACCTTGCGAGCAGGATAGTCTGAACCCGCACAGGTCATGGCGGGTCTTGTGTAGCGTCTCGACGACTCTTCCGCTACTCTTACTCGTCCGTGGTTTCTGTATCCGGAGCAAATGGTTTCATCCGTTCTTTCAAAAGTTCCGAGCGAGAAGCACATGTGCAGAACATGTGATGCTCTCTGTGGTTTCTGTGCGAGTTCTAGGTCGGCGCCGTATCCCCGTCTGCGAATCCCGACGGCCACGACAGATAGGTACGCCGCCTTGCTCTTTCGTTTGCAGCAAAAAAGAAATAAACAAGATTCATTGTTGGAATCAAACAACACGGTAAGTAATCAAAGGGTGGGCTGAAAACAAGAAAACATAAAGTAAAGTATCGAGAAGAAAAAGCAATCTATCAAACCGGCCAGTCTTTTGGACTCCTCCAAGCGCCATGCATATAACGGTACCCAAATCCGCAGATCATAACCCGGGCTTGGCCTTTTGGGGCCCTTTATATCAGTAATGAGTAAGACAAGCAAGAAGTGAAAGTACAGAATCAACAATATGTGCACAGGAGAAGTGAATACAACATCAACACCACAAGACGGTGTCGCTTAGAAGTCATGATAAGCCAGAGTTAATATGAGAGACATGAAAAGCGTCATAATGAAGGGTGTAGCGTCAGGTAGGCTCCGATATAATCCCCGGAGGTAATGAAGCCAAGATGCGCCTGCTTCGATTGGGAAGAGGACCGTCGCTCCAGGCCAAAACGGGAAGGTCGCAATGTCGTTGCCGCTCGCGATTGATCCAAGATTGATGCCATTCAATGTCGACTACAGAGCAAGCATTTTCCAACCACTACGATGAACCTGTCATGCGGACTGTCTGAGCATTTGGCGTCTTTGGCTCCATCGACAGATGTCCGGATGAAATGTTGCGACGGTTCACGACAGGAACTGTAGATGTAGTAGTTCTTGAAGTAATTGCACATGTTCCTCGAGTTTCGATTTCAACGGGTCAGGAAACGCAGTGCAATGATGCTGGATGCCGTCGATTGAGCTTCGATTAGATAGAGGCGTTTTGCTGTATGCGGGGAGGCCAGAGGAGAGTTTCGGACTGGACGGGGATATGAAGCAGTGGAAGGATTTAGAATTTATCTGGAGCATTGACAAGACTCGTGCTTGACAGTCTCTCAGGAATTTGTTGTCGACCTTTGTGAACTGACCTGGACTTGGAATAATATATCCCACTTCATGGTGGGCAGTAGTGTCTGTCTGTCATGCAAGCACCAGGGATAGGAATTTAAGGCCCATCACAAGCCCCGTTGCAGCAAGGTTAAACAGGGGGAAGGGGAAAAAAAATAATAAAAAAAAGAGCCAAATACATTTTCTTTTCAGAATAAATTATTTTTTCTCGTCTCCCCAATAAGAAAATAGGAAAAGATAAAATAAAATAAAATAAAATAAAAATTGTCAAAGGTGTGCCCAACAAAGTCAATTTAGGTTCTCATCTATTTTCATTTTTTGTTTTTTTTTTCTCTAATCAATTTCAATCTTTAATTATAGACCCGCTCCACGAACCTCAGGGCCGTTGAAGCCGTCCGGAGCAAACCTTGAGTACCGCAAGTCCCTGTCCCGATGCGGGTCCAAATACAGTGGAAGCGCATCAATCTCCTTTAAGGACAACAATGATGTCGCAACTACAAACTTTGAAGGAGCACCGGCGGATACCGTTCCACTGCGATGCAAAGCCCCATCTGCCGCGGATTGATCGGGTCAATGGGAGATCGACACGGTCCCTCGCAGCCGTTGATGCTTCACTTGCACGTGGCGCTAACTAGGATCTTCATGCATAGGCACTGGTGAGACTTTAGAAAAGAAAACATAATTCTTTGCTTGGGCCTCAGTCAGAAATAGGGCCCGGCAAACACGAAGAGGCTGTGAAACTGTTCGGTCTGCAAAAAAAGTTAAGCCCGTGGTTCAAGAAGTCCCGTTCCAGGGAGTTGCTCCAATTGGCTAACAGAGATAGACTCTAGTCATCTCGGGATAGCCAGATAGATGCATTAGCCAATATCGGGTATGGGGAAAATCGTAAGTTAGTTCGTCAGAATGATGGATCATCATTGGACAATGCAAATATCATGGTGCCTGGCCCGTCCGGCTGCTTTGTATTGACTGACGTCTTTTAATCCCTTTCACTTTTACATCGATCAACCTGCAACTGTTTGTCCCCTTGTCAGCTCCATGCAATTAATAACTTTATCCACAAGGTAATTTGACAGCATGGTGCCACCACCATCACTGTAACTCAGACCAGCTGTCCGACTAGACTCGGCTACATGTGGCGGCAGTGCAGACCTAGCAATATAGCAGAGAGCCTGACAAGGGATGCACTCAGTCAGAGATACCACGCGCCAGCTTACAGGAAGTCCAACATCAACCAGCCAAGGCTGATTGCAATTGAAGAGGAGGCCAGGATACCATCCATACAAAGGAATCGCAACCACCATAGAGCTGCTTTTCGGCCCAGCCAGAGTAAGCTTTCACTTGAGATTTTTTTTTTTCTACCCTTGCTCGATGGGTAATCAGAATGGCCATTGCACCGAACGCACGTCGGGTTGCCGTTAATTGTTGGTATCGTATGCGTAAGCTTCCGGGAGATCGGGGAGCAACGGTGCCAAGAACATAGTGGGATCCTTTTCACCTCAGTTATTGGCGTGGGTGCTTCGCTACCTTTGCTAGCAGGTAAGAATCAACAAGACTATTGAGGAAGGATCGGGTGTTCTCCGTAGGCACACAAGTAGGTACCAAGTGCCCACTCAAATGGTCCCATATGCAGAGAGTCTCGGCCCATTGCCAACGGGGTATGAACCTAGTAGGGCGGTTAGCGGGAGACTGTTATCGGCAAAAGGGTGTGAGGTATTTTCCCCCTACTTTTTTTTTCCCTTTTTTTTTTTTTTTTTTTTTTTTTTTTTCCTTTCTTTTTTCTCCCCTCATCTCATTATATCTTTCTATTCAGATCTACTATCTTTCCAGGGAAGCGTTAGCAAGTGTTTTGGGGCAAGCAATCAGATTTCACTCACTAGACCAGGGTACAAGTGGCGAAAGAATTGACCTGATTCGATGTGAGTGCCTCACTTGGACCGGGACATGGCAAGGTGGTTTGCTTGCTTGCTTGCTTGCCGGGGGGAGGGGAGGGGGGAAGAGAAGACGGGATGGAGCATGGATAGATTAGCCCATAGTAACAAACAAGACCCATATGAAGGTAGTGTGTGTAGAGCAGCGTCTGAGAAAGAACTATAGTATTAGTGAGACATCGCGAAGGCCGAAGGGGCCACAGTAGTTGAGCACCTAAGGAAGTTGGTGAGCTTGATCCAAGCCCGAGATAGGATGGTGTGCGGGGCTAAAAGGAGTTCCCTGGTGGTTTGCGAGTCAGAACCACGGCGCATCATTGACAGCCATTCCGGCTAGAGGCCCAAGCTCGGCATTTCCCGAGTTGGACTCGGAGGTTAGGCGGGGTACTATGCCACAAGTCTGTCCTTTTTCTTTGTCTTTTTCTTTTTCTTTCTCTTTTATTCCTTAATTTATTCACTCTTTTTTACAACAATTATTACTACGGATGCCTAAAGTAGTATCTAATTCTCATCCAATTTCTACTCGCTAAATCATCCACCTATAATCCCTGCTCTTCCTCATTTCCTCTCACACCCTTGTTAATCAATACCGCGGAGATGCCGGGATTGTTGCCTGGCACCCTTTTAACCCATACTTCGGCTGTTTGGGAAATAAGGGAGAATCTGAAGTCCCTGCGATGCGATCTTCCCGAGATTTTCACAGAAGGACCTACCTAATAAGATCATCAACGGGTCAAATCATTAAGAGTGAGCCACATGTTACTACATGACTACCATGTACCTACAGGCAAACTACTGCTACTGACTTATGCATCTAACAGGGAGCTACTTCCTACTTGAGTACTACTACTATCCAATACAACCCACCCACCGCATCCATCGATCGTTTGACTTGCTGTACTCTATACCAGCTACAGAAGTACGAACGGAGGCCATAAAGGAAACGGGCAAACGCCGAAATCCCAGAGTACTTTAGTGCAGGCACTAAGGACTCTCCGTACCTAAATTTGTAGTGATCCTCCTAGCTATGTACGACTGGCCAACGCAGCCTAACTAGTAACTAAGTACTAACTATGGAATCGTTAGTCCGCATGGGCATAGATACTCCAATCCCGGACTAAAGAGATAGCACTATCAACAACCTTCCCATTGCAGTTAGCGCGGCGTTCTACTTAAAGTAAAACCGCATCTCCCCAGATGCGCTAGTCCCAATCCAGTAACGGCTCTCTGTCCCCCCAGTCGGATTCCCGATCAGGCACTAGTGCAACCCCGTGATCCTGCCTCATCCTGGCAGTTCAGCACCCAGCGATCTTTTCCCACCATCTGCCCCCCTCCTCGTCGACCCAATCGCATCGTGGTCCTATCGCTTTCGATAGGCTCCTCGGCGATATACTACCGGTGCTGCTCATCCTTAGATCTTGTTCTGCCGTCGCTGCAACAGCCACGTCATTCCTAGTGATCGCCCTCCGGTCAAAGGAGGGGTCGTGCTCTTTGGCTCATCTGGAAACCCGCCCGTCGTTGTGGAGACCGGTTGGATCCGCCCATCTCGTGCAGGTTATCTGTCGACCCAAACAATCGGACATCACACAACTGTCTTTTCCATCTGTTGAGCTAGCTCTGCTATTCAAAATGGGCTTTGGCGATTTCGACTCGATATGCGAGAAGGCCCCTTTGCCGCTATGCTCCCTAGTGGGTCCACCATCTTCAATATCGGGCTCCACGGGCATCATACCAAATTGTTATGCGCGGAACATTGAGCTGGCCAATACAATCATCTTCGAAGGGGCTTCCTGTTTCCTCCACATCATCGCGCTGGGGATGACCGTGATTATGATTCTGCACAT